ACAGAGACGTCGAAATCGGGGTTAGACTGTCGTTGGCCGACAAGCATAGGAAAAACGAGTTGCAACAGATGATCACCGGCGCCCATCTATCCATTTACGGAGTACTGGTGCCCCCGAATCGCCAGAATTTTATCAATGTTGGCCATTGCGCCGCACAGTGTTTTAAAAATGTAATTATTTTTACTGCTAATTGATATTGGGCATTTGTGTTAATCTTATAATTATTTTTAAACTATTAGTCAATGCCATCCGAAGGGATTACTATAACACATATTTACCCACATTTTCATCATTTTGGTAAATAATTTGCTTTACATATGAATTGTATTTATATATAAATATTGCAAACATTTTCGGGCCAAACAATAGGCCGCAAGTTTCGTACCCGACATTTCCGGAACAACGAAGAGTTGTCCAAAATTATATCAATTGAAGCGAACGGATCGACGGAGGGTTTGGCCTATAGAAAGCTTAGTCCAGAGGTTAGACTCACGTCCAACGATATAATCACCACTGAATGCACATACGATTCCACCTCAACCTCCCGGACCCTTATGACTGACGTAAGCAAACTAATCATACAATATAACACATGTATAACAATGTTGTTATTATACCACTTATACATCAATCATAATGTGTTCATAATTGATGTTGAATTAGGCGACAGATGTGGCCGACGAAGAGATGTGTCTATCATTCTTCATGGTATACCCGCGTCTATATTACGGCAAACCATTACCGCAAACGTGTTTCAGTGGCTTCAATGAGAGCACTCTGGCCAAGGCGTCCGGCGTGGAGGACGAGCTGACCGGCTATTGGCATACGAGTCAACCAAAAATTAAACAAAGTAACCGACGCCTGTCCAGAGTGTTGCAGGAGAAGACCGATTGGGCCGAAGACATACAGGAACTGATCCATTACTCGAAGAAGAGGATCAGATGTAATATGTTTGAGAGTAACAAAGATGAGAGCAATAATATACAGTTTATCAACTACCCCGATAAGTACATACCGGAGCCATTGCTGCCCAAATATGGCTCCGCAAAGGCAGATAATAGCAAAAACAAGCCTATTTCGAGTCCAAGCAGTTCCAGCGGTTCCGATAACACCGAATCGAGTTACTCGAAGAATGATTGGAGGGCTAAATGGATGTATTGGCGCCCTAATAGCAGAAGTAGGCATTTTTGATTTAATTCTAGCTCCTTTTGTTTAATTAATGTTTTACCATTTGTTATCACCAGGTTCATCAGGTTCAGCAAAGTAGTCTACAAAAAAGTAATACATC